GGGAGCGGGGGGGGGGAGACAAGAGGAGGGAAGAGGCAGAGAGTTAGGGGACAGAGAGGGCCGATGAGCAACCCGACGAGCTGGTCCTCCCAACCCTTCTCCCTAATGGGCACGGGTCCCACTTGGAGACGGACCGGGCGGTACAGCGCCCTCCCCAACCCTCCAAGGCGCCCCACGCCCACAGGAGGCTCCTCACCCTTGGCCTGCTCTGCGCTCAGGGCCGCGGGCTGGGCCGAGGCGGACGCCATAGAACGCCAGTCGCTACTTTAGCAGAAACACAGGACAGATTGGAGAAGCCGGGCTCGCGCGGGCGGAAGGAAGGGAAGCTGTATCGCACGAGGCGGAAGTCCCTGAGCGTGGATGCAGGGCTCACGCACTTCCTAGAGGACCACGGCGAGGACAAACTGCCCCAGCCACGAGAATGCTACTGTAGCTATTTTATAAACCGTTTAGATTGGGAGGGGTTTTCCAGCAATTAGCCAGAAAACCTGCTAGACAAATTCTAAAAGAGCTGTAACACTGTAGAGCGCCGTTTGCAGCGAGCCCGGGAAGGACACGAACTCCACTTTCGATGAGGGTGAGACCAGCGTGATATTTTTTTCCCCACCACCCACTAATATGTGAATAGAAAAACACACTTTTCTCATTCAATCCGGTAAATAATATTCTGAAGGACTACTAAAATGCGTCGTTTCTAGAGTTTCTGACCGTTTGATAGAGGGTTATGCAAATAACCCAATGCTGATTGGCTGGAAGCAGCCAATCACAGCCCCCCTCGTTGTTATGAGTAAAAACAGGGCTTCGCAATAATAAAAAGCTTGGCGTGAAAACGGATGTGGCCCAATGCTTGTATTTTCATCCTTTTAGGCTCTTGTCACCCATCCCCTTCTCAAACTGCAAGGGTAATCCAGAGAGTCATGCCCTGTGGGGGGCATAGTACTGTATTTTTGTGACACTAGCACAAAAGCTGAGAGGCTGGAGAACCACAAGTTCAAGGCCAGCCTAGGCTCCATGACCCTGACTCATTAAAAATAGAGCGACTGCAAAGATGGCTCACCCTGCCTGGCAATTCTCGACTGCCTGTAACTCAAGCTACAGGGGATCCCACACCCTCTTCTGGCTTCTGTTGGGCCCTTGCATTCATGGGCACAGACATGAACACATATTCATAAAAAAAAAAAAGTCAGCGCTGGGCGTTGGTGCTGCACGTCTTTAATCCCAACACTGGAGAGGCAGAGGCAGAGGCAGGCGGATCTCTGTGAGTTCGAGGCCAGCCTGGTCTCCAGAGCGAGTGACAGGATAGGCTCCAAAGCTACACAGAGAAACCCTATCTTGAAAAACAAAACAAAACAAAAAACAAAATAAACATCAACAAAAATCCCCAGCAATTCTAATTTTATCAGTCTGCTGAAGTTATGCAATCCAACTGTTTCAAAACCATTTATCAAACCATGCTGTGGAAAGGGAGTCAGATCTTCAAAACTGTTTCTGGAGCATGTTGATGGCACCTTAGATGAGAGATACAAGTGCTTCCAGAGTCTGGAATCTTTTCTAGATTTGGTCTTGCTCACTGTGGACCTGCCCCTGCTCTCAAAGACCTCTGCTTCCTTACCTTCCCAATCCTGGGAGAAATCAGAGGACTCCCATAAGCATAGCTGAGGATCCACAATCAGGAAAAGCCCCGCCCAACTCTTCAGTTTCCATAAGAAAACCCCATCACTTCCCACCTCCACCCAAGACAATCAGGCCCCCTGCCATACCCACCCCATCACACCCACAGCCCCCCAAAAAC